GGGATTTTTTGGAATTTTGAGGATTTTTTTTGGGAAGTTCTTGTTTCCTGGGCTGGGATTTATTTGGGATTTTTCTGGGATTTTTGGGGATTTGGTTTTTTAATGGGATTTTTGGGAGGATTTGGGTTTTTTGGGGGGGATTTGAATTTGGGGGGGTTGGGGATTTTTTTGGGATTTGGTGATTTTTTGGAAAGAAACTTGGGGTTGGAAAGATTTTATGATGGGAAATCCCATGGAAAAAAAATTTTTAAATGGAAAAATTAATGAGAAAAAAACAACCCCAAAACCCCCCAGACACCCCAAAAACATTGCAGGGACACCCCAAAAATCCCCTCAGCACCCCAAGGACACCCCAAAAAAACCCAGGACACTCCTAAACCAACTTCACCCATTGCAGGGACCCCCCAAAATCACCCCAAAACCATCTCAAGGACCCCAAAACCAACCCAAAACCCCCAAAAATCACATCAAAGACACCCCAAAAAAACCCAGGACCCCCCAAAACCAAATCCCCCCACTCCAGGACCCCCTAAACCACTTCAGTGAACCCAAAACCACCCCAAATCTGCTCCCCCCCAATCCCCGGGGTTCCCCTCAGGAATTCTCCCCTCACGATTTCGCGCCGCGGCCCCTCAGGAGCACCTGGCTGGGTTTGCGCTGCCGCTCCCGCAGGAATTCCGCTTCCCAGCGCTTCAGCAGCACCTTCAGCTCCTGCTGCCGCTCCATGGCCGCGGGAGCGGGATTGGGATCGGGAATTGGGGTCGGGGATCGGGAATTGGGGTCGGGGATCGGGAATTGGGGTCGGGGATGGAGGGAGGCTCCAGGGGGACTCCTGAGCCGCCTCAGGGCGAACCTCCCGCTCCCGCCAAGAGCCAGCCAATAGGAAGGCAAGGACTAGTGATTGACAGCGAGATGAGCCAATGGGAAGGCGGAATTACAAGTGCCCGCCCATCTCGCCTTGGAGCAGGATTGATAGACAGCTCTAAGAACCAATAAAAAATAAGGGATCCGCCCCCAAGGCGGGTTTTGTCTGCTGATTGGTTGCCACAACGAGCAGACAGGGAAGTAAACGTTCCGTACGAGCTGGGGCCAGCGGGGTCTGCGGGCGGGGGTGAGTGGGAAGCGCCATGTGGATCGGGGATGGGGATTGAGACCGGGACTGAGGTCTGGGATGGGGATTCGGACCGGGACTGGGATCGGGGATCGAGGGAGGCCTCGCCGAGGACCCCAGAGCCATCTCAGAGCGAAACTCCCGCTACTTCCAAGCGCCAGCCAATAGGAAGACAAGGATTAGTGATTGACAGCGAAAAGAGCCAATGGGAAGGCGCAGTAAGAGCGCCCGCCCATCTCGCCTTGGACCAATGAGAATTTAATAAAATATTGACAGAAAGCTCTAGGAACCAATTAAGAGCAAGGAGTCCGCCCCCAAGGCGGGTTTAGCTCGCTGATTGGTCACCGCCACGTGCAAACACGGAAGTAAACCTGTACGCCTAGGGGCCAACGAGGGCGGTGGGCGGGCTGCTAGTGGGTGGCGCCATGTGGATCGGGGATCGGGATTGAGACCGGGACTGGGGTCTGGGATCGCGATTCGGACCGGGATTGGGGTGGGGGATCGAGGGAAGCTCCGCCGGAGAGGCAAGAGTCGCCTCAGAGCGAACCTCCCGCTCCCGCCACGAGCCAGCCAATAGGAAGGCTGGGATTACTTATTGATAGGGGCAATGAGCCAATAGGAAGGGAGATATAGAAGCGCCCGCCCATCACGCCTTGAGTCAATGATAATTAAATAAAAGACTGACAGACAGCTGCCAGAACCAATTAAAAGTAAAGAATCCGCCCCCAGGGCGGGTTTAGATCTCTGATTGGTTACCACAATGCGCAGACACGGAAGTGAAGGTTCCGTACGGGCAGGGGGCAGGCAGGCAGTGACCGGGGGGCGCCATGTTGCGGGGCACGGCGGCGCCGCTTTTGGAGGATCCCTGAGGGCACTTTGCAATAATTTGGGGATCCCTGTGGGAATTTCCAGATCCCCGGAGGGTGGAATTTGGGATCCCTGTGGGAATTTCCAGATTCCCCGGGAGGGGTAAACCCCAGGGACACCCTAAAAGGGGTGTCCCAGTTGGGTTGGGGCACTCCGGGACCCCCGTTTTGGGGAGCGGCGCTGAGGGGTCCCCTCACAACCGCCGCCATCTTGTCCCGGCTTCGGGATATCTTCAGATTTGTGGATTTTTTGCTTCTCCACCATCCAAAAGCTCCCCAAATCCCCACAGCCCACCCAATATCCCGACTTTTCTTCACGGTACCCTCACATTTGTGGATTTTTTGCTTCTCCACCATCCAAAAGTTCCCTAAATCCCCACAGCCCCACCAAAACTCCATGGATTCCCTCCTCTTCCTCTGCGCCCGCCGCATCGTCGCCCACCGCCCTCTCCCCGCCCTTCCCGCCGATCTCCAGCCCGTCCTCTTCCAAGCGGCGTTCCTGGACGGGAGACCCCTGGTCCTGCGGGATTTGGTGGCCGCTTGGCCTTTCCCGGTGCTCAACTTCCAGCGGCTCGTGGGGCGCCGGGAGCTGCTCCGGGACCATCCCTGCAAGCTCTGCGTCCAGGCCGTCATCCTGGCCGTGGTGGCGCAGCTCCGGCGGCAGCTGGAAGAGCCCGGACACGACGCCAGGTGGGTTCTGGGGGAGCGCGGCGTGCTCGCCGCCTCCGTTCCTCGTTTCCTCCATCCGTTCTCGTGGTTCCTTCTCGGTTTTGATTCTTTGCTTCTTGATGGTGATGGTTTCTTCTTGTCTTTGATGGTTTCTGCCAGTTTTTTATGGTTTCCTCCTACTTTTGATGATTCCTTCCCATTTTTGATGGTTTCTTTCCTCCCGCTTTTTGATGGTTTCCTCCTGTACTTCACGGTTTCTTTTTGTTTTTCATGGTTCCTTCCCATTTTTGATGCTTTCTTGCCACTTTTGATGGTTCCTTCCTTGACAGTTCCATCCTGGTTTTGATGGTTTCCTCCCATTTTTCATGGCTTCTTCTTGTTTTTCATAGTTCCTTCTCATTTTTGATGCTTTCTTGCCATTTTAGATGGTTCCTTCCTTGATGGTTTCTTCTTGGTTTTGATGGTTCCCTCCCATTTTTGATCTTTTCTTCCTGTTTTTGATAGGTTCCTCCAGTTTTTCATGGTTTCTTTTTCTTTCTGATGGTTTCCTCCCATTTTTGATGGTTTCCTCCCGTTTTTCATCGTTTCTTTTTGGATTTGATGGTTTCTTCTTGTATTTGATAGTTTCTATCTTTGATGGTTCCTTCTCGTTTTTGATAGTTTCTTCCCATTTTTAGATGCTTTCTTGCCATTTTTGATGGTTCCTTCTGTGACAGTTCCATCCAATTTTTGATGGTTTCCTCACATTTTTGATAGTTCCTCGCCATTTTTGATAGCTTTTCCTTGTTCTTGATGGTTCCTCTTTTTCATGGTTCCTTCTTTGTTTTGATGATTCCATCCTGTTTTTGGTGGTTTCTTCCTGTTTTTGATGGTTCCTACCAGTTTTTGATGGCTCCTTCCCATTTTGAACCATTGTTGATGGTTCCTTCCCTATTTTGATGGTTTCTGCCCATGTTTGATGGTTTCTTCCCATGTTTGATGGTTCCTTCCCACTTTTGAAGGTTTCTGCCCATTTTTGATGGTTTCCTTCCGTTTGTGATGGCTTCTTCTTGTTTTTGATGGTTTTTGATGGTTCCTCCTTGGTTGTGATGGTTTCTTCCCATTTCTCATGGTTACCTCCAGTTTTTAATGGTTTCTTTTTAGTTTTGATGTTTTTTTTCTTGCATTTGATGTCTCCTTCCTGTTTTTGAGGGTTTCTACCCATTTTTGATGGTTTCCTTCCTGTTTCTGATTGTTTCCTTCCCTTTTTGATGGTTTCTTGCCATTTTAGATGGTTCCTTCCCATTTTTGATGGTTTCCTCCTGGTTTTGATGGTTTCCTCCCATTTTTGACGGTTATTTCTTGTGTTTGCTGTTTCCTTCCCATTTTTGAGGGTTTCTATCCATTTTTCATGGTTTCTTCTTGTTTTTGATGCTTTCTTGCCATTTTAGATGGTTCCTGTCTTGACGGTTCCTTCCCATTTTTGATGGTATCTTCCTGTTTTTGATGGTTTCTTCTCATCTTGCTTCCTCCTATTTTTGATGGTTCCTTGCCATTTTTAATGGTTTCCTCCTGGATTTGATGGTTTCCTTCCGATTTTTAAAGGTTTCTTTCCTCCCGTTTTTGATGTTTTTTTCCCGTTTTTCCCAGCGGGTGCCGCCTACGCCTGCTGGACCTGACCGGACTCCCGGATTCCGCATCCGGCCGCGCTCCGGACGGGATGAGCGTCTGGTCCGGCACGGTGGCTTTGGCCAAGGCGTGCGTGGAGGTGTCCAAGCACCAGCGGGAATTCCAGAGGCGCGGATCCAAGCGGCACAAAGGCCGCTCCGGAGCCGCCACGGCCGCGGCCGCTCCGCAGCCCCCGGGCGTGGACGTCCACGCCGACCTGTTCGTCAACGGAACGTCCTACGGGATCCTGCGCGACGCGCTCCAGACCGGAGCCGCCAGCCCGCTGCGCCTCAAGTGCCGCGAATTCCAAGCGGAAAAGCTCTCCCTGGCCGGAATCGTGAGCCTGCTGGAAACTCTGGATCCCTCCTGCGTCCGGAGGGTGGATCTGCGCTTCCGGAATTTGGGATTGACCGGGCTCTCGGTGATCCTGCCGCACCTCTCGCGCTTCCCGGAGCTGCGCAGCCTCAAGCTCCAGTACAGCAACGTGGACGTGCGGCGCCCGACGCCGGAATCGGCCATCGGAATCCGGTGCCTGGCCGGGCAGCTGGGAATGCTGCCCAGCCTCCGCGAGCTCAACCTGGGATCCTCCCGGCTCTCCGGGAATCTGCGCCAGATCCTCTGGTGAGTTCTCCACGGAGCGGGGCCTGGCCGGGACCTTCCCGTGCTCCCGGGGGGATTCCAAGGGTTGGGGGTCTTGGGGGTCTTTTCCAGCCTGAGTGATCCTGTGGTTCCAGGATTTCATTATCCTGATGTTCCCATGATTCCGTTATCCCAATAATAGCTCATGACTCAGTGATTCTATTGTCCCATCATTCCTTTGTTCCAGGATTCCCAAAGGTTGGTCTCGATGGTCTTGGAGGTCTTCCCCAATCTTAACGATCCCTTGATTCCATTATTTCATTATCCCAATATTCCCATGTTCCCATGATTCTGTTATCCCAATAGTTCATGACTCAGTGATTCCGTGATCCCAGAATTCCATGATCCCAGAATTCTCAAAGGCCAAACTTGACAATCTTGGAAGTGTTTTCCAACTCTCAGTGATCCCATAATTCCAAGATTTCATTATCCCAACATTCCCATGATCCCATCATCCCAACATCTTATGATTCAACGATTCCATCATCCCATAAATTCAAGATCCCATAATTCCTTAATTTCAGGATTCCTAAAGGTTGGGCTCGATGGTCTTGAGGATCTTATCCAACCTGAATGATCCATTGATTCCAAGATTTCTTTATCTCAATGTTCCCATGATCTTGTGATTCAATGATTCCATCATCCCGTAATTTCATGATCCTGTAATTCCTTTTTCCATGATTCCCAAGTTTTGGGCTCGATGGTCTTGGAGATCTTTTCCAACCTTCACTATTTCATGTTCCCTTGATCCCATTATCCCAATAGTCCATGACTCCATCATTCCATAACTCTATGATTTTGTACCTCCATGATCCCATAATCCCTTGATTCCAGAATTCCCAAAGGTTGGACTTGATGATCTCAAAGCCTTTTCCAACTCAATGGCTCCATGACCTCATAACTCTATGATTTGTAATTCTGTAACTCCATAATTCCAGGACTCCATGATCCCGTTATTTCACTTCCACAATTCCTTGGCTCCATGATCCCGTAATCCCAGGATTTTCAGAGGTCAAACTTGATGGTTTTGGAGATCTTTCCCAACATCAGTCATTCCATAATTCCATGACCTATGATTCCCAAATTCCATGATTCCTTCATCCCATAATTGCATGTTCCTCTAACATCAGACTTGATGTTCTTGGAGTCTTCCCCAACCTCAGCAATTCCATAACTCCATTATTTGATTCCACAATTCCATGATCCCATCATTCCCTAATTCCATGAGTTTCAAAGCTTGAACTTGATGTTCCTGGAGATTTCCCCCAGTCTCAGCCATTCCGTAATTCCACGATTCCATGACCACACCACTCCATGACCCCATAGTCTCATGGATCCATAATTCCATAACTCCTTGGTCCCACGCTCCTCACCTGTCAAACTTGATGTTCTTGGAGACCTTTCCCAACATGAGTAATTCCATGATCCCATAATTCCAAAATCCCGGGATTTTCAGAGGTCCAACTTGATGATCTTGGAGCTCTTTCCCAACTCCTTCCACAATTCCATGGCTCCGTGATCCCATAATTCCATGACTTTCAATCCTTGAACTTGATGGTCTTGGAGACCTTTGCCAACCTCAGCCACTCCATAATTCCACTATTGGATTCCACAATTCCATGACGCCATGATCCCATAATTCCATGATTCTCAAACCTTGACTTTGACATTCTTGGAGACCTTTCCCAACCTCAGCCATCCCACAATCCCATGGATGCAATCCCAGCTCTCATTCCCCACATTTCCCCCACAAATCCCAACAAATCCTCCCTCGGGCCTCACCTCTCCCTTTTCCCTCCCGCCAGCGACCTCCAGGCTCCGTTGGAAAGCTTGGAATTGGCCTTCTGCTCCCTCGTTCCCGCCGACCTCGCCTTCCTCTCCCAAAGCTTCCACGCTCCGGCCCTCAAAAGGTTGGATCTGAGCGGCCACGACTTCTCCCAAGGCCTCCTGGAGCCGCTGCGGCTGCTCCTGGAGGAAACCTCGGCCTCGCTGCTGCACCTGGATCTCATGGAATGCCGCATGGCCGACTCCCACCTGGACGCGCTGCTGCCCACGCTGCGGCGCTGCTCCCGCCTGCGCTTCCTGGGACTCTACGGCAATTCCCTGTCCACGGCCGCGCTCAAGGATCTGCTCCAGAAAACCTTGGAGCTGCCCGATCTCCACCTGGTCGTGTATCCCTTCCCCGTGGATTGCTACAAGCCAGAGCCTCCGCGCCGAGTCCCGGGATCCCGACGGATTTACGAGGAGCCCATGGATGGCGAACGTTTGGCGGCGGCCACCGCGGAGATTTCCCAGCTGCTGGCGAATTCTGGGAGAACCGACCTCGTCTGGACTTACAATCCCTACGGCCACGGAACCCTGGACTACTTCTCCTTGTGATTTGGCAAAAGCTTGGAGCCTCCATTGCGGAAAAGCGCCGCCGCCTTCTTCCCAAAATCTGGGCGTTCTCTGCCTCATCCCGGTGCTTTTCCGCCTCATTCCAGTGGTTTTTTTTCCCTTTATTTCGGTGCTTTTCCACCTGTTCTCAGTATTTTTCCAGCTCATCCCGCTTTTTTTCCTACCCGTCCCAAGTTTTTCCCCTGATTTTGTAGCTTTTCTGCCACAGTTTGAGTTTGTTCCTCCCCATCCCAATAGTTTTCCCCTCATCCCGGCATTTTTCCACCTCATCCCGGTATTTTTCCTCCCATTTCAATATTTTTCCGCCTCATCCCAGTGTTTTTCCTCCCATTTCATGCTTTTTCCAGCCCATCCCGGTGTTTTTTCATCAGGATTGGCTTTGCATGGCCAAATTCCGGGAGGCTCCAGGGCTGGATTCCATGGGAAGTTTCCGGAAGCTTCTCCCATGTTCGACCGATCCCGTCGAGAACGGCGGTGGTGCCTCTGGAGTAAGAATTAAGTCGGAAGAAACCAATCCAGGCACAGATGGAATTCCAGAGTGGGAATTTTGCAAAGGAACAACTCTGGAGATGATTGCATGGTGCTGGAGTGGAAATTCCCAAAATTCCGTGGCGCATCCAATGGGAAGCTCATCCTGGAGCTGGATCTTGGCAGGGATCTGCGGATCCGTGGAAAAAGGAGCAGATTCCTGAGAGGAATCCCATGGAGGAAAAAAACCTTTGGAGCAGGATATTCCTGAAGGATTGACCCCTTGGAAAAATCCATGAAGAATTGTCTTCCGTGGGAGCGACGCGTTGGAGAAATCCGTGGAAAACTCTTGCCGTGGGATGGATTCGCGTTAGAAAATGCATGGAAAACTTACCTTGGGATGGATTCGCGGAGAAATCCATGGAAAACTTTCCCATAGCTGAAAAATCCATGGAAAACTCGCTGTGGGATGGATTCACCTTGGAGAAATCCATGGAAAACTCACTGTGGGATGGATTCACCTTGGAGAAATCCATGGAAAACTTTCCCATAGCTGAAAAATCCATGGAAAACTCGCTGTGGGATGGATTCACCTTGGAGAAATCCATGGAAAACTTTCCCATAGCTGAAAAATCCATGGAAAACTCGCTGTGGGATGGATTCACCTTGGAGAAATCCATGGAAAACTTTCCCATAGCTGAAAAATCCATGGAAAACTCGCTGTGGGATGGATTCACCTTGGAGAAATCCATGGAAAACTCTCCTGGGATGGCCTCCAGCGCTGCTGGAGGGATTGAGGGAAAGCCGGGAACGAGGGAATTGGGGGAGGGAAAGGTTGGATTTGGGGTCTTGTTATCCTGCTCTGATTCCATTGGAAATAAACTCATCCTATCCCAGATCCCGAGTTTGTCGTTCCCGGATGGGATTTCCTGAGGGATCTCTCCTGATCTTTATGCTGATCCAAGAATCCTCCATTATTTCCTTCATTTCCACCTCATTTTTCTGGTTTTCCACCTCATCCCAGATTTTTTTTCACGTTATACACGTTTTACTGAACCTCATTTTGATGGGTTTTTCCCATTTTTCCACTTTCCCCCAATATTTTTTCACCTTTTCCCAGTTTTTCCCCTCATCCTTGTGGTTTTCAGCCTCATTTTTGTATTTTCCTCCCTCAGCCCAGTGGTTTTCCACCTCATTTCTCCGGTTTCTGCCTCATTTTGCTGCTTTTCCACTCATTTTGGTATTTTCCCCCTCATCCCAATGTTTTTCTCCTTTATTTTGATTTTTTGCACCTAAATTTGGGGGGTTTTTTACCTTATCCCAATATTTACCCCCCTCATCCTGGTGGGTTCCCCCCCCTTTTTTTTTTGTTTTTGGTGTGGTTTTTTTTTGGTTTTTTTTGGTTTTTTTTCACCTAAATTTTGTATTTTCCCCCATATTTCAGTGGTTTTCCCCTCATCCCAGTGTTTTCCCCCTTCATCCCGATATTTCCCCGCCTCATTTTGTTGTTTTCCCCGAACATTTTCCACGTTTCCCCCCTCATTTTCCACTTTTCCCCTCATCCCGCTATTTCTCCACCCCATCCCAGTTGGTTTTCTACCTCATCCCGGTACTTTTTCCCTCATCCCAAGATTTTTCCGCCTCATTTTCCAACTTTTGCCCTCATCCCGGAGCTTTTCCCGGCGCCTGTGGGGCCCTGAGGGCCCTGAGGGGAAAATGGCGGGAAGCTGAGGGGGAGGCGCAGCTATAGGGCATCTATGAGGGCGCGCAGCGCCAGGAAGGGCCTATAGCCGATTTTTATGGTGTCGCTGAGGCTCTATAGCCCTCTGAACCCCTATAGAGAAAGTCTGGGGGATTTTAAATGAACTCTATAGGATCTGGAGATCTATAGCGTCCCCTATAGCAGCGGGACCCCACCCGGCCCTTCTCTTTGCACTTCCGCTTCCCGCCGGAACCTTTTCAGCGCGGCACCACGGGAGGTGCCCGCGCATTGCGGTCCCCCAGGCGGCCGCTTCCGGGTGGCGCCGGTGGCGCGGCCGTCGCTGTCGTCTGTCGCGACAGGGAGGCGGCCCGGCCGTGTCGGGGGTCGCCGGTCGCTGTCGCGATGAGGGCGGGGGCGGTGCTGCGGCTCTGCTCGCGCCCGGGGCTCCGGTACCAGCAGGGGCAGCGGCCGGGGCCTGGAATCCGCGAGTATTTTTATTACGTAGATCACCAGGGGCAGGTGAGGGGGGGGGATCGATAAGGGATCGATAAGGGATCGATGGGGGTTGGAGGGTCGGGAGGGGGTTCTGGGGAATGGATCCCGCCTGAATTCTGGGCAGATCCCGAAAAAATCGCAAGGAGGATCCGGGTGGGTCAAAGATGGATCCCAGATAAAAAAGCCGGGAGGATCCCGGTCAGATCCCGAAATAATTCCGAAATAAACCCGGGTTAATCCCGGATTAAACTCAGATAAATCCCAAACACATCCCAGATGGATCCTGGCCAGATCCCAGACAAACCCCAAATTCCGAAGGAATTTCCAAGCTCAGATTCCAAAGGAAACCCAAAAAACCTTTCCATGGACTCAGAGGAGATCCCAAAAAAATCCCCAAAAATCCCGGGCAAATCCCAGCTGGATCCCCCTAAAAAAACCCCGAAAGGATCCAGGAGCGATCCCAAAGCCATCCCAGGGAAAAATCCCGGGTTTTTTGGGGAAAAACTCGGGCGTTTTGAGGCTTTTTCCCGGTTTTTCTGCAGCTTTTCCTGGACGACACCAAAGTCAAGAACTTCGTCACCTGCTTCAAAGGTACCGCCCTAATTAACCTAATTAATTATTCCTCTTGTTAATTGGGAGCCGAATATTGATTAGGAGTTGGTTATTAATGGGGATTGGAGCCTTAATTAGGATTTAATCCTTAATTTGGAGGGGGGGGGTTGAGCCTTGGGAAGGGGTGGGAAAAGTGGGAGCTCCTAATTTGCATATTAATATCTCATTAATTAATCGTTCCCTGATTAATTAATCATTTCCTTAGATGTTAAATTCTCTAATTATTAAATCCCAAATTAATTAAGAAATCCCCTAAGTAGTTAATTAAGAAATCAGTTTGAAACTTAAAAAAAAAACAGCAGAAAAGTGTCAGAAAAACGACCAAAGAAACCCAAAACAAACCCCAAAACCTCCACAAAAACCCCCAAAAAAACAAAATTAAAATTTCAAAAAAGTGCAGAAATGCACAGCAAAAAAACCTCGAAGAAAAACATCAAAAATACCCCAAAAAAACTGAAAAAACAACAAAAAAAAAAAAAAAAACAACCAAAAAAAAAAAAAAAACCACTGGAAAAAACCCAAAAAATCTCCACAAAAATCACCAAGAAAACTCAAAAAAAACACCATAAAAACATTGGAAAAAGCCCAAAATGCCACTAAAAAAAAAACCCCAAAAAAGCCCAAAAAACTCCCAGAAACCATCAAAAAACCCACCACAAATCTCAAAAAAAACCCTCCCAAAAAACTCAAAAAAATTCCTGGAAGCCACCAAAAAAAAAAACCCCAAAATACTCCCAAAAAGACCTGGAAGAAATCCCAAAGAAACCCCAAAAAACCAGTGGCAGAAACCCCCAAAAAACACCCAAAGAAACTGAAAAAAACCCAAAAAAACCCCAAAAAAGCCCCAAAATACACCAAAAGAATTATTGGGAAACCTCCAGAAAGTGCCACAAAAACTCCACAAAAACATCAAAAAAAACCCCAAAAAAAAAGTAATGAAAGGAACTCCACAAAAACCACCAAAAATCCAAAAAGAACCACAGGAAAACCCCATAAAAACCTGAAAAAAAAAAACCTAAAAATATCACCAAAAAAAATCTAAAAACCACGAAAAACCCCTCAAGAAGAGCCAAAAAAAAGACCAAAATTCACCAAAAAAAGCACTGGAAAACCCCAAAAAGTAACCAGAAAACCCTCCAAAAAAGACCCTGGAAAAAACCCTAAAATCCACCACAAAACCCTAAAAAAATTCCTCAAAAGACCCCAAAAAGACACTGGGAAAAGCACAAAGAAACCTCAAAATACCACTTGAAAAACCTGAAAGAAACTGGAAAATAACCCCAAAATCACCAGAAAAAAACCCAAAAATACTTGGGGAAAAAGCCTCAAAACTGCCACAAAAACCCCCCAAAAAATCCCAGTAAGCCCCAAAAGAAACTCCATAAAAACTTCCAAAAAACTCCAAAAATCACTGGAAAAAATCAGCACAAGCCACCCAAAAAAAACCCAAAAACCCTAAAAAAAATCCCCAAAAGATCACGGGAAAAACCCCAAAAAACACCCAAAAAATCCTGGAAAACAACCCAAAAATCACTGAAGAAGGTCCATAAAAACCACCAAAAACACCCCAAAAAATCTCCACGAAAATCCCAAAAAAATGGCAAAAAACCATCCAAAACCTGCCAAAAATCCGACAAAACCGCCACAAAAACCGTCAAGGAAAATCCCAAAAAAGAATGGAAAAAAAAGAGGAAACACCCCGAAAAAGCCCAAAAAATCTCCACAAAAACCCAAAAAAAATCTATGGAAAAACCCATTAAAAAACCACCAAAAAAAACCCCAAAAAATCAACGAAAACCCCCAAAGAAACCCCAAAATACCACTGGAAAAACCCCAAAAAACGGGAAAACAACCCAAAAAAACTCTAAAAAACTCCACACAAACCCTTAACAAATGAAAAACAAACCACAAAAAAAATCCAAAAGCACCTCAAAAATCTCCACGGAAACCTGAAAAAATGGCAAATCCATCCAAAACCCAAAAAAAACACCAAAAAAACCACCAAAACTACCCCAAAAACCATCAAAAATTTCCTAGAAATCACGGGAGAAACCAAAAAAAACACCAGAAATCTACCAGAAAATCCCCAAAAAAATCCCTGAAAAACCAACAAGAAAACCCCATAAACGACCACAAAACCACCAAAAAAACCCCACAAAAACACTGAAAAAAACCCCAAAAAAGCCAAAAAAACCACCATGAAATACCCCCAGAAACCACCATGAAGAAACCCAAAAATACTGCAAAAAAAACATCAAAATCACCTCAAAAAAACACTGAAAACCACGCGAAAACCCCAAAAGAACCCCAAGAAACCACCAAAAGTCCTTCATAAAAAGCTCAGTAAAAACCTCAAAAAGCCCCTGCAGAACCCCAAAAAAACTCTGGAAACGCCAAAATAACGGCCAGAAAAACCCCAAAAAACCCCACGAAACCACCACAAAAACCACCTCAGAAACCTCAAATAAGACTGGAAAAAACCCAAAAACCGCCTCAAGAGCGACAAAAGAAAACCCCAAAAACACTGAAAACACCCAAAAAAACCCCCCAAAAAACACTGAAAACAGCCCAAAAAACACTGAAAACACCCCAAAAAACACTGAAAACACCCAAAAAACCCCAAAAAACACTGAAAATACCCAAAAAAAACCCCCAAAAAACCCCAAAAAACACTGAAAATACCCAAAAAAAACCCCCAAAAAACCCCAAAAAACACTGAAAATACCCAAAAAAACCCCCCAAAAAACCCCAAAAAACACTGAAAATACCCAAAAAAACCCCCCAAAAAACCCCAAAAAACACTGAAAACACCCAAAAAAACCCCAAAAAACACTGAAAACACCCAAAAAAACCCCAAAAAACACTGAAAACACCCAAAAAAACCCCAAAAAACACTGAAAACACCAAAAAAAACCCCAGAAACCATCAAAAATCTCCACGAAAACCCCGAAAAAGCCGCCAAAATCCGTCTAAAAACCCGCAAAAAAAGCCCAAAAAGCCCTAAAAAACCCTACAAAAGCACCACAAAAACCACCTCAGAAACCTCAAATAAAACCGGAAAAAATCCAAAAACCGCCTCAAGAATGACCAAAAAAAACCAAAAAAAACACTGAAAACACCCCAAAAACCCCCAAAAAAACACTGAAAACACCCAAAAAAACCCCAGAAATCCATCAAAAATCTCCACGAAAACCCCAAAAAAGCCGCCAAAATCCGTCTAAAAACCCACAAAAAAAGCCCAAAAAACCACCAAAAACCCCCAAAAAACCCTACAAAAGCACCACAAAAACCACCTCAGAAACCTCAAATAAGACCGGAAAAAACCCAAAAACCGCCTCAAGAGCGACAAAAGAAAACCCCAAAAACACTGAAAACACCCAAAAAAACCCCCCAAAAAACACTGAAAACAGCCCAAAAAACCCCAAAAAACACTGAAAACACCCAAAAAACCACCAGAAATACATCAAAAATCTCCACGAAAACCCCAAAAAAGCCGCCAAAATCCGTCTAAAAACCCGCAAAAAAAGCCCAAAAAACCCCCAAAAACCCCAAAAATCCCCAAAAAACCCTACAAAAGCACCACAAAAACCACCTCAGAAACCTCAAATGAGACCGGAAAAAACCCAAAAACCGCCTCAAGAATGACCAAAAAAACCCCAAAAAACACTGAAAACACCCAAAAAAACCCCAAAAAACACTGAAAACACCCAAAAAAACCCCAAAAAACACTGAAAACACCCAAAAAAACCCCAAAAAACACTGAAAACACCCAAAAAAACCCCAAAAAACACTGAAAACACCCAAAAAAACCCCAAAAAACACTGAAAACACCCAAGAAAAACACCAAAAACCCCAAAAATCCCCAAAAATCCCTACAAAACCACCACAAAAACCACCTCAAAAACCTCAAATAAGACCAGAAAAAAACCAAAAACCACCTCAAGAATGACCAAAAAAAACCCCAAAAAACACTGAAAACACCCAAAAAAGCCCAAAAAGCACTGAAAACACACAAAAAAACACCCAAAAAACACTGAAAACACCCAAAAAAACACCCAAAAAACACTGAAAACACCCCAAAAACCCCCAAAAAACACAGAAAACACCTCAAAACCCCCAAAAAAACACTGAAAACACCCAAAAAAACCACCAGAAAACCATCAAAAATCTCCACGATAACCCCAAAAAAGCTGCCAAAATCCGTCTAATAACCCACAAAAAAAGCCCAAAAAACCACCAAAAATCCCCAAAAAACCCTACAAACCACCACAAAAACCACCTCAGAAACCTCAAATAAGACCGGAAAAAACCCAAAAACCACGTCAAGAATGACCAAAAAAAACCCCAAAAAACACTGGAAACACCCAAAAAAACCCAAAAAAACACTGAAAACACCCCAAAAAAACCCCAAAAAACACTGAAAACACCCCAAAAAACCAGCAGAAAACCATCAAAAATCTCCACGATAACCCCAAAAAAGACACCAAAATCCTTCTAAAATCCCGCAAAAAAAAGCCCAAAAATCCCCAAAAAACCCTACAAAACCACCACAAAAACCACCTCAGAAACCTTAAATATGACCAGAAAAAACCCAAAAACCACCTCAGGAATGACCAAAAAAAACCCAAAAAAACACTGAAAACACCCCAAAAAACTCCAAAAAACACTGAAAACATCCCAAAAACCCCCAAAAAACACTGAAAACACCCAAAAAAACCTCCAAAAAACACTGAAAACACCCAAAAACCACCAGAAATCCATCAAAAATCTCCACGATAACCCCAAAAAAGCCGCCAAAATCCGTCTAAAAACCCGCAAAAAAAGCCCAAAAAACCACCAAAATCCCCAAAAACCCCCAAAAAACCCCCAAATCCCCCGTTCTCCAACCCCCAGTCCCCTCGCTGACCCCAGCTGTCCCCCCAGACGTCGCGTTCCTCTCCTTCTTCTTCCGGCGCCTGGAGCGGAACCGCAGCGGGCGCTACCGGGCGCAATTCCCGTTCCTGTCCCGCTGCGGCCGCGAGCGGAATTTCCTTCGCTGCTCCGACCTTCCCGTGGTTTTCACCCAAATCCTGCCCGGCTCCCGTGGGAATTCCCTGCTGTCCTACTGCGGGGGCGGCTCCGAGCTGAGCGTGCCCTTCCAGCCGGGAATGCTGGCGGTGTTCCCGGAAAACGGGCGCCTTTACCACCCGGCGCCGGAAAAAGTCGGCGGGGTCGGTTTGGTGCGTTCGGCGTTGGCCGAAGAGTTGAGCTCGGAATTTCGATTCGAGGACGGGCCCGAAAAGCCCCCGACGCATTTTTGGTGGGAAGGGAAGAAGTATCGGCTCACCGGGGAAATTTTGGGAATTCTGCGGGCGGAAAAATCGGGATTGGAGGTTGAAGCTGCGATTTCGGCGCCTTAAATGCCTAAAATGCCCGAGAAATCCTAATGAAATCCTAATAAATTAATTCCCTCGTTCATTAAGTTCACTCATTAATTAATTAAGGACTCTATTTTTGATTTAAATAATGAATTTCAGGAAGCATTTCCCCTTCCCAGTTCCCCTTTTCTTTTTCCTCATCCCTAAAATTCACAGAAAATCCCAAAATTCCTGGCAGGTGAACACCGCGGTTTTCCCGTGAAATTCCCAAAAAAAAAGAGTGGAAGTCACTCTGTCGATCGCTCACTGCGGGGTCGGGATTTGGGATGAAGGATTTGGGGATTTGGGATGGAGGATTTGGGAATTTGGGATGCAGGATTTGGGAATTTGGGATGAAGAATTTGGGATGAAGGGATTTGGGATGAAGGGTTTGGGAATTTGGGATGAAGGGTTTGGGGATTTGGGATGAAGGGTTTGGGGGTTTGGGATGAAGGGTTTGGGATGCAGGATTTGGGATGGGGGATTTGGGATGAAGGATTTGGGGATTTGGGATAAAGGATGTGGGAATTTGGGATGAAGGATTGAAGGATTTGGGATGGGGCATTTGAGGATTTGGGATGAAGTATTTGGGAATTTGGGATGAAGGGTTTGGGGATTTGGGATAAAGGATTTGATGATTTGGGATGAAGGGTTTGGGATGAAGGATTTGGGGATTTAGGATGAAGGATTTGGGAACTTTGGACCAAGGATTTGGGATGAAGGATTTGGGGATTTGGAATGAAGGAATTGGGGATTTGGGATCGAGGATTTGGTATTGAGGATTTAGGATAAAGGGTTTTGGGATTTGGGATGAAGGATTTGGATTGAAGCATTTGGGAATTTGGAATTAAGGATTTGGGTGATTCGGATGGTGGCGGCTTATTTATTAATAATTAATGATCCATAATTAATTAATATTTATTTTAAAATTAATTAATGTCCCATGTGAATTAAGGGCATTCAAGGGCTTTTTCCCTACGGACATGGCAATAAAAGTTCCGGGAAAAACTTTGGGGTTGAGGTGGGAAAACACCAAAATTGGACGGAAAAATATCGGGATGAGGAGGAAAATATCGGGATGGAAAAATCCTAAAATAAGACACAAAACTTGAGGATGGAAAAATATAAAAACCAGGCAGAAAAGCACCAAAATAAAAGGAAAAAAGCACCGGGATGAGGCGGAAAAGCTCCGGGATGAGGCAGAGAACGCCCGGATTTTGGGAAGGAGGCGGCGGTGCTTTTCCGCGACGGAGGCTCCGAGTTTTCCCAAATCACAAGGAGAAGTTGTCCAAGGGTTTTCCCAAATCACAAGGAGAAGTAGTCCAGGGTTCCATGGCCATAGGGGTTGGAAGTCCAGACGAGGTCGGTCCTCCCAGAATTCACCAACATTTGGGAAAACTCAGCGTTGACCGCCGCCAAAAGTTCCTCGTCCACGGGTTCCTCAAAATTCCAGCCGGATTCCGACGGCGGCTCCGGCTTGTAGCGTAGGTGCCCCTTCCCTATGTGCTGGTCGTGGAGATCGGGCAGCTCCAAGGTTTTCTGGAGCAGATCCTTGAGCGCGGCCGTGGACAGGGAATTGCCGTAGAGTCCCAGGAAGCGCAGGCGGGAGCAGCGCCGCAGCGTGGGCAGCAGCGCGTCCAGGTGGGAGTCGGCCATGCGGCATTCCATGAGATCCAGGTGCAGCAGCGAGGCCGAGGTTTCCTCCAGGAGCAGCCGCAGCGGCTCCAGGAGGCCTTGGGAGAAGTCGTGGCCGCTCAGATCCAACCTTTTGAGGGCCGGAGCATGGAAGCTTTGGGAGAGGAAGGCGAGGTCGGCGGGAACGAGGGAGCAGAAGGCCAATTCCAAGCTTTCCAACGGAGCCTGGAGGTCGCTGGTGGGAGGGAAAAGGGAGAGGTGAGGCCCGAGGGAGGATCTGTGGGGA